AATAAATAATAATAATCAATTTTGTGTTTTTGAAAGCTTGCTTTCATCGCTATTAGGTTATGTATAGTCCTGAGTCCGAGTCTACGGGACCCTGTTTGACCTTTTGGTTTAAAAAATCTCACCAGCGTTATGATGCAGCATTCAGCATACGGGTCTATGATGTAAATCTGACTCGTACTGGTCCTTATCGACCTGACATCGAACGAGGATTTCTTGAGAATAATAATGCTTAAGTGCTCGTGAGAGCGAGATTTAATAAACGCACACAGAACTTACTTAGTACGAACTTAAACGAACTAAGGGATTCAAATAGTGATGGAGATAATATAACACAGAAAGATAATTTGTCCTCATCTAATCCCCATTCTCATAGATAATTATCCCTGATCCTTGCTTATTTCGTTTCTGTTTATTTGATTCTTATGCTTTTTAGTAAAATTACTTTCTTAAATATATACACTCGTAAGGAAAAAAAATGCAACTCACGCCGTATGCGGTCAAAATTTTTAGGTAAAAATCTTTAGCTCAGATTTAATTGTTATAATTTTTTTTCTACTTGAAAGGTGAAGGTTTTAGCTTTAAAATAAGATGCCAGTAAAATTGTTAATCGATGCACAAAGTTTTCACCGATAATTTATCGGTAGCTAGCGTAAGGAATGACTTGATCCCCTTATATCTTCTGCCGGTATCGGTTCGCCGTCAAACCTCCAAATCTGCCGCTAGTTTCGATAAAAACATAGTCTTTGTTCGACTGCATTAAAATGAACGCTTGTACAATCCAGGAAATTTATGCAGCTGTACGTTTAGTATGCTGGTACATTTTCGTCTATAGCTGGCATGGACGTCTGCTTTTATCCGAGAAGGGAACATACTTCCAATTTCACTATTCGTCCGCCCAACTCATCATTCTCGTGCTAAATAGTCGGGCGCTCGATGAGCTGGGTTAGACTTAAGTTCAACAGCTAACCTTTTTGACGTCAGGGTAAACGCCTTTAGTCTTCTTCTGAATGTCCAGATTGTTCTTGAGCAATGGTAATCTTTTCTAAATCAAAGACCAATGATTTTGTGATTTCTTTATTGAATATTTCATTGTTAGAAATTAACTAACGATCGAATTTCATAAATGTTAAAATAATAATAAAAAAAAGTTTTAATAATAAAGATTACACCTAAAAAAATACTGCTCTCGGACTACGCAGAGAAATACATGCGTTATTACTTCTGCTGCCCTTATATTGACGTAATGTCAACGAAACTGGTTAAAATAAACAAATTTTGCACTCACATGATCACAACGTAAAATGATAAACATTTCACAAATACAGGAATAGGTACAAAAAATCGATTACAACTAATAATAATTTCGCAGCCAACGGTTCTGAAAGATTAACGTAATTAAATATATTTGGACGAATCCAACGTATATGTTTAAATTAAACGTCCGCTATAGCCAAAACAATAAAACTAATTTATAAAACATCTTAGGCTTTGAAAATATTGAGGAACAATGAGCAGTATTGATTCAATTTTTCGTTCTGTATATTGATTAATCAAAACTTTATGTAAAATTAATATATTTAGAATACTTGAATTGCAAAAATGTTATAAACTGCACATTGTCCACAAAATATAGGCAAATCATTAGTTGTCAATGTCACCCATAATTTAATATGCTTACAACATGATTTAAATTGCGTTTATCGATTAAAATTCACAACGGTACAACCAAAGATGAGACTTGTACAGCCGAATTGCAATTACAACGCTAGGATTAATGTTCTCTCGTAAAGGATCGAGGTACAGCGAAATTCTGAGGATCCGGCAAGAAGCAGAATCTGTAATTGTACCGTTGCAAAAAAAATAATAATTTATAAAATAAACACTTAAATAAATGCAACCAATCGGCGAACATTCTTCTACCATTCCATAAATAATAATCAAACCATTGTTTCATTGCCAAAACTAAGACTAAACTCTTGGGTCAATATTAACGAATGTGTTGGCTTTAAAATAGGGAGGGAGTGGGGGAGATTTTTTCAGCGTTTTATATGTCGTAGTTACAAAACCTAAACTGAACAAATCGTCCTGAATCAGATAGTCGAATAATGAGAATGAGTGTTCGGGACACAAACATTAATGTTGACCGTAGAAATAAGCCCTAAAAGAAGTCCACTAAAACTTAACTTCAACACAGAGCCAATAGGGCTTTTATAAAACACAACTTAAAAGTTTACATTTTAAACACTACTGCATGTGGGATACAAGATTACGTGATACGGGGAGTAACTAATTCTCGTGAAGTCATTAACTTAGCTTAGTTTTATTATAAAAATACAGATTCCTTTGTTTTAAAATTAACTCTCAATAAGCTTAGCTTGCCATCTGAGACTCACGACGCTATCCAATGCCTCTTCGGGGCTCTAGAGTTGATATTGAATGATTATTCAATTAAAAATCGGCCTCTTACATGACCGAGAACGAAATTAATTTCATTAGATAAACGGTTCCGAGCAGTCTTCCGTTAAATAGTAAATACGTTAAAGTATACCAGTTAAAGAAAAAATAAACATTACAATTATACGATACGATGTGACATATCACTAATAGTGAAGCACTAAAATTACTTTTAAATTGATCGAATATAAAACTTAAATCTAAATGATTAAAAAAAATTAAATTATGTTATCGCTACTCTAGTATTGAAGGGCTATAATTTTGCATCGATTATATTTTTAGGAACTATACTACTGTACAGATTATTAAAAAAACATATTAAAAGAAAGAGTAGGCTTTTACTTTCGTAAAAGGCAGTTAATACTTTCAAAATGTCGATATTATAAAGAGAGAAATTGCACTCTTCGACTTATATCAAGCGAGAACGAGGGGCGATTTCGATACCATGAGAACATAAAGGAACTAAAACTTGTGTGAGTGTTTCCGTATAAAGTAAAATCGATACCAATCGGGGCTGTCTCACAACCCAACAACAATTGGCTGTCTCAAGCCATATGGGGTTAAATATTGCGTCACATTACCATACGACTAAGATTATAGGGGTACTTATACAGGCTAAAATCGATTAAAGAAATATATATGTCATAAAATTACGCTCCATACAATTATGTTCTGCTAAAAATATGTAGCTTACATCGTATCACTTGTTCGTCTGGTGTTGCCGAGTTTATCATTACTAATATTATTATTTAATATTTAGAATATAGACGTTATTTTATCTAGGACACTACACCCTACGATCTAGTATTCACAGAGATTGATACATAATAAGACATTTAAAGGCGAAACAGCGTGTGCTTAAACTACACAACTTTTTATTTATCCCTCTATTTTCATTTGAAACTTATCGAATTATGAATATAATACGAATGAAGCCGAAGGGCGCTACATCATAGTGATTACATCCATTCGTTATTTATATTGAGTATTTCATACAAATATACGTTTAGAAAATGTTCCTCGTGGAATGCGGATATATAACCACTATATTATTTAAATAAAATCAGATCCAGACATAGCGTTCGAGGTGGCCATTAGCTCAACCGCAAATACTTTAATCGCTGTCGAATTATTTAAGAAACAACGAAAGCAAGAGTCCTTATACAAACACACAGCTTTATAACGTTCACCGTAAGTTAATCTGTAAATATGCTGTCTCTATGTAGAATATCTCAAAATATTACAATGCCTGTGTAATAAATATTATAATACCCAAGTGGCCTGTGATTGAAAAGGTCTGCACGAGCAATGCAAACTCTTACTTTAACCTTATTGCCTTATGATAAATTTTAAAACTGTTATCATTAAGAGTATATATTGGTTATAATAAAATAGGTGGCAGTAGTAACATACGGTTGTATGCCATATCAGTAGTACACTTAACACATCTTCTTGCTACAGATAATGTCAATATAGTAAGATGATATTATTAAGATTATTTAAATATAATAAATAACCATTTACATCTGAATGTGTTAACGGTATTTTGCAGTGGGCGTTTAACTTCATGCAGACTATTAAAATGTTTGTGACATATTTTTGTTCGATCTCACATCATATTAGCTAGTATCAATGTAATTCTATCGTTAGAAAAATATGGCATCATATTACAATATTAAGTATCCTGTAGTACTCTATGCACATAAAAGTATTCTAAAACTAAATTAGTTCAGTATTACTATGGCGATGTTAAATTGGTTGAAATTGTAAAACACCCTCAATTGGCGGAGCTGCTGATGCCATATTTCCTCTAATGAATGATTATGTAAAGCTGATTATTGTTTCGGCTGAAATTTCACCAGTAAAATAAATAGGATTATGAATATTATTTTCATGTTTTTTACCACCAATCTAAATGCAAGATAGACAGTCAGTACGACTAAGAGTCAACATTACATCACGCATAACGCTGTAGGATTACAGAGCTGTGTGGTAGCATTTGCCTATCGATAGTTCTGTACCGAAACGAGATCGCAAACTCGTCCGGCACGGGAAGACTTATAACATCCTACGCATAACGAACAAGGCAAATATCATATTACTAATCATTAAAGTGAACACGTGTAGTTATGCGAACGTCAACGAGAGCTATCGTACAACGCAAACCACTATCGAAGCGTCATAGAACTTACGAGAACGTGCCTTTAAAACGTTCCGTCAGTACGAAGTACCTACATAGATAGATCATAAGATAATCGGGCGCATCCCAGGCATGCTTACATCTAAGAGTGCCTATCTACACTCTGTCCTCATTAAAAACGAGACTCCGAATGACCTCCGTCTATCGATCACTCAAAGTTACGCCTGAGACAGAGTATAGAGCGATGAACGAATGAATGAATGAATGAATGGAAACCTAACGTCACGCGGAGCGTTCAGAGCAAATGCCACCACAGTAAGCCTAATGATCTACCCCATATGGACTACACCGTCCATACCGCCACCCTGCATGCGGAAGACCATTGATTTGACGCCATCGCTCACTATTCACTACTAGCGCGAGCGCACGTGAATCGATACGCGCAAGTCGCGCTACTATTGCGATACCAATTTCCGATTTGCACCCCGAACACGCTTCGATTACAACGCTCGATCGGTCGAACTAACGTCGAGTGCGCGCCGGGGTGCGCGTCTATTGGGGCGGCGTGGCGACGGGGCAGATCAGCAGCAGGGGCGCATATTATGTGTTCTCGACGGGCCGTATGGTGCAGTCGCCGACGGTGGTGATCGGCGTGATGGTGACGGCGCTGGGGGGCGGGGGCGGGGCGGCCTCGGCCGAGGGCTCGGGGCCGCTCGTCGCGCTCCTCGCCCGCGGGCAGCTTCACGATCTGGCAGTCGCCGACGGTGAGCACGCGCGCCTCGGCCGAGGGCTCGTCGGGGCCCGCGCGCGAGCCCTCCTCGTCGTCGGACGTGGAGTCGGACACGTCGATGGTGCGCTCGTGGTCGGCCGAGGGCTCGCCGGCGGACGAGGGGTCGCCGTCCGCGGCGCGCTCCGGCTCGACGCCCGCCGCGCCGTACGTGTACGCGAGCGGGTTGTAGATCATCTCGGTGAGGTACGAGAAGTCGCCGAACGGCAGGTTGGTCGCGTTGTAGTTCTCGTTCGGCCTCCCGTCTGCGGGTGGGGCGCAAGTCAGATAACATTTCAACAAAATAGGGAAACGTTCGCTGGATCGTGTTTCGAACCGGATCGACGTCGCTCGCTTCTATTGCTAAGATTTGTGGAAAGATTCATCTGACACGGAAAAATGTGCGAGTTGATTCAAAGCAACAGTAAATGTCTACTGGACTTTTTTAGTTTTTAGACTTTACGAGCAGGTGGTACGGCTGTCACGGGGTAACCAGTCAACAGGATGCTAATGTCTTTTCGGTTGGTCATTATAACGAGTTGTTTTGGACGGCAATATGAATACATACAATGGCTCAACATTTTTTTTATGAGAAACGTTGGGTAGGGTGCAAAGAATCACCTGATGTTTAGTGATTACCGTCGCCCATGGCCATCTAACGGGTTGCAGATTCGTTGGCAAACTTTGAAAGTGGGCTTTGATTACCAGAGGGAACACGAAAGAATAATACTTCAGCTTGACACTGGTCTTCTTCTGAGCCGTGGTACTTCCCCGAACAAGCCAGCCCATTCGTGTAACAGCGCGTTGTACCACATTTAAAATTACAAATTTCTCTTTCTAAACATATTGAGAACTATTTTCACAATTAACAATATTTTTTTTTTTGTAAGAATTTGCAGTTTCAATGAAACACTTTTTAGCGAGCAGGCTAAGATTTTGCTGAGATATCAAATACATTGTGATTTAAACAAAAATAAAAATACAAATTACAAGAAATTGTTGTTATAAAACTTATTATAATATTACTTGATTTCTTGAGTCAACGCGAATAATACACATTCTACATAAATAAAATTGATTTTGCGGATTTTTTAATGATCACGGGTCATTCTAATGACTACGGACACTGTAAATAGTTCGAAACTTCAGAAATTAAAATCTAAATTAAACGAGAAAAAATCCGTAAAATTAGTTTTATTAAAGACATCACTTTTGTTCTTCTGTTAACACAAGCGCATAACATATTCAACACCCGTTATTCTAAGCAAACGTGTTAGTAGAAACAGCAAAGCAAGCATGTTAAGATATTAGAATACTAAACCAAAAGCCAAAATCAAATACAATTACCCAAAATAATTCAAACAACAAATAGATTAGAGCATCTTCTGCTAATGGTAGTTTATTTTTTTACATTTTAACTGTATGTTAAGATTGAAGATTACGTCGCTTTTCAATAGTTGAATGATGTTAGTTATTCAAGAATTAACGATAAAAAAATATCGTCCTTATTAATTTGTATTTTTGTTAATATGTGCAATGAATCGTGCAATTGACATTCTCGGTTCGACAAGTTGCGGTTAGTTTCACGTGAACGGGCTGTGTTAAATCCAAATGCTAAACACACGAATACCGATTAGTACCGACAGTATATCCCCGATTAATTTGAAATTTCGACTCGTTTCGCCCGTGTACATGCTGACGTATCGATGGTGGGATACTAACAAAACTTGCCCATTTCGGCGGCTAGCCCGTACTGCATCGGTATTGCCATATCCATACCTAAGGAAAGACTCGCACATTAGCGTAGCGGAGACGGGCGGCTGTCGCACCATGGCTATCGTCAAAATGACGTTTCCATACTCGACGTATTTACAAAACGTCTTTTTGCAGCGACATGAGTTTAAAATATCAATAATGAAAAATTTCTTAATGACTCATTATAAACATTTAAAAAGCAATATGAACAATTTGAAATTAATTCTAAGGTAATTAATTGTCAAGTTAGTTTACTTATTTAATTTCGATTAATAAGAACAAATAATACTTCTCTTAATGAATTGCATTAAAGATGTAAAGAAACAATATTTTGATAAAATACGTCGGATTAAAACAAACATTTTGACCAAGTCATGGCAGACAGGGCTTAAGTCAAATCCATTGATCCGCGTGTTTTCTCATATGCTTTGAACAGTGTTGCGAGCTTTTCCAGAGCTCATACTTCGTATTGATGTCACGTGAGAAAAGTCACACGGATAATGGAGTTGACATTGTGAAATACAGGACAAGAAGCGACCGCTAAAAGGCACAGTGAGATTCAGCTGCACACACTCAGGCACGCACGCTCACACGGAAACACGTGAATGGTATTAGGGTTGCCAACATAAGGTATTGTACTGTATTTCAAGACTATATTTTTAAATGCCTATTTTGAAATATACTATAATCGGCTGAGGGAATATTGGCAACCCTTAATGGGATACATAATATGGCTTCGAAAGTACATCCGACCTGTCCCATCATCACCTAGTCATTTCAAAAGGCATCAGATGTTAAACTCGTTGTATATTTAGGTTTACGATACGCTTTTTTATTTCATATCAAGAAAAATATTTATTGCACAAGCCATTACCTAACTTAACACGCGGATGGTTTTTGAGTAGTGTAACAAAATTTTATTTATCATGTAGATAAAAAAAATTAAAGTAACAATAATATTTAGAAATAATTAATTAATAAAAGTAATACTTAAATTTAGTGTGAATTAATAGAAATTTTAAAATTTTATTCAAGTAACTCGAGTGTGAATCCTCATTCGTTTCCTTTATAAAATCATATCTATCTCGTAACATAACATTTCTTAAGAATATATGAGTACGGTGGTCGAATTGTGAAACTAAGTTTTCCGGCATACCTCCCTGCGGCATCAGGTAGTTCTTCGGCGGCCGCCCGCGCTTCTTCTTCAGCAGCAGCTGTTGTCCAGACGGCGTGAGGTGGGCCATGTGCTGGGGGCTGGGGCCCATCACGGTGCCGCTGGTGAGCACGCAGCCCTCCATGTCTGAGGGATTCAATACTTTTTAATTTATAAAAAACTAGCGACCCGTCCCGGCTTCAATGTATGATAATATATAAACCTTCCTCTTGAATCACCCTATCTAGTAAAAAAAAAACCGCATCAAGAGCCGTTGCGTAGCTTTAAAGATCTAAGCGTACATAGGGATAGACAAGCAGCGGGACGACTTTGTTTTATACTGTATAGTGATTACCTTTACGTTAGGATAACATTATCCCGTTTTGTAAGGACGTTTTACAAAAGTAAATTCCACGCGGACAATCACCCAGATGCGAAACAACTATCTGTGGGTCACACAACAAGTTGTCCCGTGTGGGGATCGAACCCACGACCCCCGATGCTGAAGCCAATACCCGGGCAATTGCGTTACGGAGTCAATGGCGGCAAAATAGAAACCAATTAAGTTTCAAAAGGCAAAGGTCTCTGTACACTGGTTTTTATGTCATACTTGAAAATTAAGCGCAAATGCAAAAACAACTTTGTTAGCACGCATGTTTTCGTTATGGTTTATGGCGATTGCATTTAAATTAATTTAAATGAAACTATAAGTTTTTTATCGGTTCTACCTTACACAGATCTAAATTGCTTGTAGTGCTTGTAGTTATAATAACAAAATAAATAACGTTTGTGGGGTATTTCCTCCCAAAAACATAGGTGCGTTTGTGTCCAACATTAATGTAATAGGTACAGTAGAATCCCGATTATCTGAATCAAATAAAACCAGGGGTATTCCGTATGATGGAAAATCCGAAAAATTATTAAATTTCATTAACTTTTTTTATTATTAAAAGGGTTTAACATACGTCATTTACACAATACGGTATAAAAAAAATCGAGTAAACTATGTAATTTAAAAAAAAAACTCGTAGCACTGTCGGTCGTTGCACACTAACTCGTTGCGCCCTCAAATCATTTCTAAGTCGGTATCCGTGAAGAGTGTGTCCGGATAGCCGGAATTCTGCTGTATAGGCATTTGCATCGTTTGCACGTAAGTGAGCTTAATCGTAACAGGCATAAGATAGAGAGTGGCGTGGCAATTTTACTTGCGACTCACCGAGCGACGTCTTGGGCGGGCGGCCGCGGCGCTTCTTGATCTTGGGCGTGAGCGGCAGCGGGGTCTTGCGCGGGCGGCCGCGGCCGCGGCGCGGCGGCTCGAGCTCGTCGCGCGGCGCCCCGTGGGCGAACGAGTGGGCGTGGGCGTGGGCGGCGGGCGCGGCGTGGGCCTGCGCCTGCGCCTGGGCCTGCGCGTGGGCGTGGGCCACGTGCGGCGGCAGCATCACGTCCCCGCTGGCGGTGAACACGAGGTGGCCCGACTCGCGGTGCGTGGTGCGCACCATTCCGGACATCACCTCGGAGCCGGTGTTCTCGCGCTTGATCGTGGTGACCTCGTTCGCCATGTCCACGGTGGGGTCCTCCTGTTGGCGGGCCCGAGTGTTATGTGTCGGCTGCGCACTTATAAGTTTCGGTATCCATATGTCCATGACCATACAATAAATGAAAACATCGACGGTAAGGGGTCTACTATAACTTTCGGGACTCATAAGTCCATCACCATACAGTAAATGAAAAGATCGTGTTCTGCGTCGATGCTGGCGCAATTAACGAATGACGAAACCTTTGGAGCGAAACAGAAATTAAAAGATTCCCAAAGCCTAACAAAGGCAATAATGGCCTATCACTTTTACTTTATTTAGTTTTGAAAATAAAAATTCATATATTCATTCAAAAGAAATTCAATTCCAGTAGCCCTAAGGGAAGGGGGGGTAATCGTCTTGTATGTGTGGGTACCCGCTCGCAGATCTTGGTGTGCACGCGAAGCTTGTCGGAGCGCGCGAACGAGCGGCCGCAGCCGCCGCACGTGAACGGCCTCTCGCCGGTGTGCGTGAGCCGGTGCCGCGACAGGTGGGACGAGCGCTGGAACCTGCAACGGGGGAGCGGGACCGGTGAGTGAACCGAACGAATGGTCTTCATCGTCGTTCGTTCGTTCGTTCGTTCGAAAGTGGGCGCCAGTTGAAGACGTTGGCCATGAATCGTTATTCGTTAGTATCCGTGTGAAGAGCGGTAAGAGTCGATCTGTTGTAGTCGTTCACCTGTCGTTCGTTCGTTTACAATAGGCCACTGAGCGAGCTATTGTTCGGCACGATTGTACACACATATGCTCGTTCTCGTTCCTCATGCTCTTTTATAGCACGGAGCGATTAAATTATGTCATCTCAAAACGTAGTAGTTCTCAAAAGTTAAAAAAATAAAAGAAAGGAGTGTTGGCATAGAGACATAGGTTTCCATGGAAAATAAACTAAGATTTCTACGAAGTCAGTACCGGTATTGTAGTTAGATAAGATCAAGCGATTCTTATAAACTTAAGATTTATATAGACATATCAGACTACGGAGAAATACTTTGTTCTTCTCAAGAAGTGGTAAAAATCAGTTGAGATCCTCTGAGACTCTGGATAGACGCGAGAACGGAGCGGCTTTCGAGCATTAATTCTTCTTTATCTCACCTGAGGTCGCAGACATCGCAAACGTGCGGGCGGCCGTCTTGGGAGTCGTTGGCGGCCGAGTCGGAAATCGAGCCGCTGGAGTCAGTCTCTTCGTCGTCCTCCATGCACATCTTACCAGGTTTCTCTGGAATATAAAAATATAGTTACGAGTCTACTTTGCAGTTGGCCTTAAAAACTGTGTGTTTATCTATCTGTTGTGATTAAAGTACAGTATAGTAATCACCAGGGAAGATGGACAGTCACATTATCAGGAGTGTGTTATCATTAAGAGTTGCCTTCAAGCTGGTGATGGAAATAGTTACTTCACACCCTTTTTTTAAAAACTAAAGCTGTTTAATGGTGGTAGGGCCACGCAGTAGCCTCGGCTGTTGCACGAAGTCTCGTCTGGGTAAGTACCACGACCTCACAGAAGACCGGCGTAAAGTGGAAGTATAATACTTTTGCGTTTCGTCTGGTGAGTGAGGTAGCCGGAGCCCAATTTTCAAAGGTTGTCAACGCATCTGCAAACCCTCGGGTGTAGCATCAGATGAACCATCTGCTCGCTTGGCAACTTTTCACATAAAAAAAACGCAATAACGGATGGACAGAACCGATCCCTATCGAACTAAACCTCCACATAATGTACTCGCCAGCTCTCTAACTAGAGATGCCTCTAGGCAGAGAGATAGAAGCAGAAGGTCTTTACCGTCTGAATCCTCATGTTCGTTGTTGGTCGGCTTCTGGAGAACGGCCAGCTGCACCACCTTGATGCTTCCCTGCTTGCCCTCAATCTCGTTCCTTGCGTCGTTGCTGGCGGCGCCTGGAAGTGAACAATACAATACAATAAACTTTATTTGTAAAAAAAACCTGGTTGTACAAATGCAACGTGATGTTATGTCATATCCTTAAGTATCGCATGTTTTTTGCTCTAGAGGAGCATAGAAATATATATTGGGCTGTTCTTAGCACCTAGATTAAACAAATAATGAAAAAATTACAGAAAAAAGAATAAGAGAATAAAAGTACAGTCAAAGAACAGTCAAAACTCATGTCGATTCGGAATTGTGTAATATAGACGTGTAATAAGTAGTGTGACCAATTATATACGGACAATTTTATACACCGTGTTGCGTTAACTTTTTTTTTGTAATCGAAATCGCCCAACTCTTGACTGCCATCCCACCTGATTGTAAGTGGCGATGCAGCCTTTTTTAAATCTAATAAAAAATAAGCCTTTTTAAGGGAGCAGATCTCTGTTTGAAATCATAAGCTGGGAAATGGGATGACGACCGCCCATGGACATAATCAAAGGCCGTAGTATTGAACGAATTTTAAAATAGTTAGACCCGGCTAGCTCATTCGTTAGACGAAATGCAGAGGAAAAATTCTTCCACTTCTACGATACCGGGGTATCACCTGGACAAGCCTGCCCATTCATGACACATTCATGTGTAGCACATTACGTTTAAGCAATGGCAAGGTAATCATGAGACAACTATTATAATCAAACAAATATGCAGCTTCCGTCCGACGGATCGCTCACTTGGCAATAACTGACTTTATTTAATCCTAACATTAACTTATATTACTCATGGTATTGTACTGATAGTTAACATAACATAGTTTTTAGCGAATATGATAATAATGGACAGCACAACACGACGTTAAATAATGAGATACGATAACGTCAGTGTTTTTATATTACTTCTAGCGTTCTTTAGATGAAAAAAACTGTCTGAAACCGGAGCGATAACATCTTTTTGCGTCAATGGTCCACCGTAATTTAAACGAGTTTGTTATAAAGAATACCACATCAGAATATTAATTGTAAAAGTTCATTCATTATAGAGATTGCGTCTTTTAATAGTCAAATCGTAGGAAGCTCTAATTGACTGTCTTCTATGAAGCCAATTTAAGCACGTAAAATATAAGAAACAGTTTGTAGTGTTGTTGTTTGAAAGTAAATTTAATTGCCTATGAATGTCCCAGTGCTGGGCAACGGCCTCCTCTGTGTAGGGGGTATGTTAGAGCCTGTTTTTTAATTAAAATAGAAAAAAAAAACAATAGAACCGGTAAAGTGATTTAATGTGCACGTAATTACCGATTAACCTAGCAGCTACCAACGATCCCACTGCAATAATACTTAATCTAAAAAGGAAGTTAAAACGACATAAATAATACACATCTTATCTTAACATAATTTTCTTCTTTTACACATTTACACATCTCTACTAATTAAGCGCCGTAACCTTTTTCACAAACTTAAAAAAGTTGTAGTCTATTCATATAATAGCTATTTCTTCTGCAACTAAAAACATGTTCTTTACTGATATAAATGTATAGAGCGGGTTATGATTAATGCGTAAGATAAAATGGGGCTTGTTTTATTTCTATAACAAAGAGCTATCTCAAAAAAGAACATTTCAACCAGCGGTGACTACCAATTGTTCATAAAGTACATTACAGACTTTATAGTTTTTTTTGTTTATTTGGTAGCTTTTAGTTAAACCATAGATGGTTTAAAACGGTGGAAACCCGTGTGACTAACAAAATATTTTGACTTACATTAATCACAGCTACTTATATATATATACTTTTACAATTTTATACGATTAGTTTTTGATTTTTTTTGATTTTATAATACTAAAATACATATATTATAAGTATTATAAGTTATGCGATAGCGATCAAAACTTGGGCTTAAAATGTTTCGTTTTAAATACAAGTACATGGAGTAAGCGTATGCGCTTTCAAATGACTTTGTATCTAGGTATAATCCAACTTTGTGAATTGCCTTATAAACATTAATAGAAATTGATAATACCGTTAAAGGCTAGAAGTTAGTCTGGTTATACCGTTACTTATGTTAATACCGCGCCGGTAATTGGTTACGCAAGTGTGCGTTATGAAAATATGTTGTAATAGTAATTTTAAATGTGACTCTAAAATGCATAGGAAAGGTGTTAGTGTGAACTAATAAAGTTGAATTAAATAACAGAAATCATGTTACATATGTAGTAATATCAATCCATTTTGTCTGTAATAGTGTATATTTTTCTATTTATTAACATTTTCCTTACTTTTAGATAACGTTATATATATATAAAGTCTCTTTGTGACAAATATTAGTCCCGTGTATGGATGGAACCCACAATCCTTGAGACAGAGCTTAGCCTATGCGCCAATGAAACACTTAAATAAACGGCAACAATCATTAAACCCGTCCGTATACAACAGAAATAAATTAATAATTCGTCAAACTGTCTCGAAATGAAATATTAAAATATTTACGCTCACGCAGATGTTTATGGCAGGCAGGGTAAAAAAAAAACAAACCTTCACAAATGATGATAACGTATACGAGGTAAGATTGATGCCAGTTTTTATCAAGGAAAATAGCATACCCCAGTGAATTATATGTTGGTAGCAGAGGTATCCACTGAGACGTTATTATTTTTGCCTAGAAATGATAATAATTTCATACACTTACGCAATACTGGTCGCGTGTTCAAAACCATAATATATGTTTTCGAGACGTGGGCTAATAAATTACCTACTCCATATTAATTTATAATAAAATCCGTTATAAATAGTTACATTTAATGGAAACGATAACACGAACGGAAAGCGTTTCGTATGCGTACAACTTATAACGCAACATATTATCGACGCCATGTTATTTTCGCATAAAGAAAATCATTTCGTAAGCCGCAACCGTTTGTCGCATTACGCCTATTTATATAATCGTGGGTATATTCAGAATAAAACGTAATAACTTTCTCCGATGCAGTTTCCTTTATGCCCTACGGGTAGTTTTTGCGGGCGGTAGAAGCATATTAAAAATATATAAGTAAGGTCGAATTGAGAAACCGCCTCTTTTTTTTAAGTCGGTTAAAAAGTAGAACCAAACTTTGAACGCTTAATGATATTTAATTTTTTTTATGTGGGAAGGTGACAAACGAGCTTGCGGTTCACCTGATGTTAAGTGATAGCACCCGTATATCATTTAACCTGTATATTACGTTACACTATTATTCGACTATTACTATAATATTCTTAAATAAATACATTTTTATTAGCCACGTGGCTGTTTTATATATTTAGCTAAATGTAACGTACTAAGCATTAATAAGTAGTATGTTAATACTTTTTGCCTGCAAGTACATAATATTTTCTTACGTAATCAATGGAACAATCTTTCGAGGAGACTTAGAAATCATTATTTTTTGTCGACATACGAACAAATAAAGTCATCATTGTTTATAAATAACATACATAATACACTATATTTTTTTAAGTCTATGGATTTGAAGCCTTTAAAATACTGTTATTTCTATAGACATACATACATAACATTTAAAGGTATATTATAAAGGCTACATGATACACTACCATTGCTTGGTGAGGTACCATGAGGTTACAATTGGAGTATATTTTAAGGTTAGAATCACATAACAACAACGGCGGACTGCACAAGAACCGGTTTCGTCTTACACCAATTTATTACATGATGATATTTATTTATAACTAGCGATCCGCCCCGGCTTTGGACGGGTGCAATGTGTTATACATATATCCCTTCCTCTTGAATCACTCTATCTAGTAATTTTTTTTAACTAGATAGAGCGATTCATCAAGATCCGTTGCGTAGTTTTAAAGATCTAAGCATACACAGGGACAGTCAGACAGCGGGACGACTTTGTTTTATACTATGTAGTGATTTTAATAATTATTTCGAAAACATGGCCTGTCGAAGAATCATACAAGTTCTGTTAAAGATTTACATCTTTGGGCGCGTATGGAAAAAAATATATAGGCAAAATTTCTTAAATGAGGCGCGCGCACACCGATCACCAAAAAGCGACCAACAATTTCACAAGGTCAAATACTTAGGAGTCACATTCGACTCGCGTATGTCATTTACTACGCACATTAATAACGTTCGTAATAGAGCCGCGTTCGTCTCCGGCCGGCTACACAATTTAACTAACGCTAAAAGTAAAATGCCCTTAAGGCACAAATTATTATTATATAAGACCTGTGTACGACCTATTATGTCCTACGCATGCATGATCTTCGCCCACACGCACCCTACTCGCTTGTACAAGCTGCAAATAGTACAAAATAAGTTCATCCGCTGTGCAACCGGTGCGCAGTGGTACCAACGCAACGTCGATCTGCACAGCGATTGCAGACTCCCGACGATTCGCGAATATTTTAAAGATTTGACAAAACGGTTCTTCGATAGAGCCGAACATCATCCCAACCCTCTGGTGGTAAGCGCAGCAAATTACCAACCCGACACAAACGCGAACGTTAACAAGCGTCGCCCGCGAAACGTCCTCATCGACCCGGTCGAGGAAGGGGACTTAGATACGCCGGACCCACCGCCGAGGGTCCCGCCGGATAACACTACACCCACAGCTAGTGTAACAACAAACACAATAGTTCGCCCTCGCCTCCGAGCACGGCGAGACCAACACAACGCGTACACAAGGTACACCCGCGTTCCGGGGCGGTTCTCACCGCTCCCAGCCACCGATTAGCTAAATGCACAGTCGACGGCCATCGGGGTTTCGGTCCGAACTGCGACCTCGATGGCCCTTAGATAACACACCATACTTAAACGCACGCATGAGCACATGCGTGGCCCTACCCACAGCGGAGGGCCCAAACCCGTGGGTTCTGGCTAGCCCACCGGTTCTGCGTCAGATGAAGCTTTAATAGTCTCGGGACTGAAAGCAAAAACATCAGTTAATACAAGATACAAGACAATTTCACATAAGTATGTGGACAAGTAGTCTAGGACTTAGTGACATT